AATATGCCAGAACAAGTTGTGGAAGGACCCTGGGATGGTGAATTAGGGCATTTCTTCAAACATGACAAATTTCAAAATCATGGAATGATCCACATGCACAGCTTTACTCACATGGAAAAAAGAAACATCATGGAAAGACATTGTATAATTTGGTCATGAAGTATCAGATTACACCATTGTAACCTCAGCCACAATCAGATAAAACCTAATGTCCATTGTTGTGTAAAGCAAGCAGACAGGATGATCATCCCTGATATGGAATGGTCACATAAATTTTTAATAAGTGATGTCCACAGGATTTGTGAAAAACTGACAAATACTGAAAACATATCATGATGAGAAGGCTAGGCAATGGAATTGATGATACTTTTGTTCTAGTACCTAGTAACCAGATATTTCACTGCTTCTTTTCTGCACCCTCTGAGTACCATCTAAGATCTGTGAAACTGATGCACTTTCTAAACAAGGAAGCAGGCATTGAAAGTGATGAGAGGGGTAGTGATGGCAAGTAATCCTTGCTGTAATGAGTTAGATTTATCATTAATAAAGTTGGTGTCTGCAACAGTTTTCACATTTTCTGCATCTGCAGGTTTTAAAGCTCGAGTTGCAACCTTTTCTGCAACCTCTGCAACCCCTGAAACTGTCTGCAACTATAATTATGATGATTTAGCAACAAAAACGGGATCATATGTCAATTTTGTTCATGGAGATTTAAGGCTCTCTAACTTTATGATTTCTTTAAAAGATAGAACTCTAAAATCTATTGATTATGATTGGGTTGGAGAGACTCTATTGCAAGGTAAGTTTTTAAATAATTAAAAAACCTATTTTTTTCATATGAATTTTTTCTAACTAATTAGCATTGATTCCAATTTACTCAATAGGTATCCATTATTGGTAAACAATAACAATGGAGACAAAATACCTTGGCATTCAAAAGTGTTGGCTGGAGCAGTGATCAAAAAGGAACACGACATTCATCTTTTGAATAAAAGTTTTAATTAGTTTCGAAAATTTAGGAATTTCGAAATGGTTTAGGAGTTTCGGGTTAATTTCAAAAGTAGTTTAGGGTTTCTAAACTAGTTTAAAAAAGAGGTCAGAGTTTAGAAAGGCAACTCTAGAGAGATTTATATTTTGTATAATATTTTCCCCTTTCAAATTTGAAATATTAGACACGGAAAATATTTCGTCGTCATAAAGACTCTTTAGGACTTGAAATGGTAAATTCAGTGCAGTTACGGTAACGAATCATGGATCTTCTAAACATTCTGTTGACAAACTGAATTGACCGGGAAGGGTGAGATCAAAATCAAAAGATAATATGGGGGCGCTCTAGGAAAACCAGGCTTCGAGTTTCGTGTTACGTGTAATTTTCATATGTTTTCGTTATGAAAATTACATGTAACACGAAACTCGAAGCCTGGTTTTCCTAGAGCCCCCATATGTCGTTTTTTTTTTGTTGTGCTGGCATGGAATGAGTCAAAATTGAATTTCAACAGAAATATTTTCGTTTTCCAAAATGATAAATGGTTATGGCTATTTTTTACATCGCGGTATCAAGCGAATTCCTATTGCTATCTATTTTAATTTGTCATGTTTCGTGCAACAGAAAATTTCGCATTAAATGTTTCTTGCGTGGCGTCTATCGTTTTTACCATTAGGTTTTCGACTTGCTCTGATGTTTCGGACCATTTAAATGACCATAAACTAATGGCCTTGTCTTGGAGCCTTTACCTCAGGTCGTCAAAGACTTGTCACACGACGTATTAGTATTAACTTATTTTCTAGTCACGAGACCGGGATTCAAAAGGCACTTTATCTCTGTTGTCAATTTAATGATCAAATTTTTTTGATCATTCTGTTGAATTAAAAAAAATTTTTTTGATTTTGACCATTTGAATGATCTGGATAGTAAAATATTTACCTTTTACAAGCATGGGTATCGTTTGGAATTCGTAATGTTTATAACATATGTATTTAGTACCTTTTTCTACGTGTTTTTTTTTATAGGGAGGATCGGTGTTGGACACGAATATTATCCTGTACCTGTAGGTCCCAATTCCACCTCATATGCTACAATAATCCACGTGTAATATTAAGTGTGTGATCAACAACAACACAACAACCTTCACTCGAGCAACTTCAACTCCATCATCTCAACCATCATCTCAAAATAATAATCAACCAACTTCATTATCATTATCAGATTTACCATCTACCATAAACACCAAGTCATAATACACCTTAAACATATTGGATAATGGCCAGGATGTTGTCTAATGACAACTCTGCATATAATCAATATTAGATCCATTCATTTTATTTTATTTTTTTTAGAAATGAGTTTTAAGGGACTATGACCTGTAATTATATACAATCGGGAAGCATGCATGCATGCACACACAATGCACGAAATGAAGGGAACCAAATTAGAGGCTCGACCACAAAAATTTTCACGACATTTTTTGGATGGAACCATTATAATACATGGAAAAGAGACTCGGATTAACATCATCAAAGGTTTATTTTCCAACTTTGCCAAATTTTCTCACCTGAATGTGGCTTGTTTTCAAAATTGGTTCCTTGAATTTCATTTCTGCATGATCTTGGTATTATCATTGCTTAGCAAATTGGACGATGTACCTGTTGATCGGGTATGTAATTTAAAAAGCTTACAGGAAAGCAATTATATAATTTATTTTGTTTGATACATATCAAAATTGCGTAATGCAAAATGTGACATATATATATTTTCCTCCCCTACTGAATAAATTGACCCGCCATTTTTTTTGGATAATAATAATCATTTAAATAAATAGATTATAATGAAATTTGAAGCAATTGCAGAAATTTCAACAAATAAAAAAATAACATTCGAGTAAGGATCAATGTATCCATTTGATTTAATTCTTCTAATTAAAAAAATATTTACCTATGTTGATAATTAGGCTTCATCCAATAACAAAAGTCGGAATCACTTGATTTTTTTTTTTTCAACCAATCCATCGCCACCTAATTTAACATACACATTAGTTTTGTACCATTAATAAAAAGTTTTAATTAGAGCTAAATTATTAATGAATCGTGCTTATATTTTAAAAATTATGATTAAAGTTCAACATTATTATGATGCACTTGTTTCTAACCTTTATATCTTTGAAAATGGGAATTAAATTATTAACTATCATTAATTGATTTTGATTGGTAGTAAAAATAGAAGAGGAAGGAATAAGTGGTGATGGTGATGAGAGCAGTATATAGTAAAATTGTTAAATAGTGAATTATTTATATCGGGTAAAGGGTTTTGATGGTAAAGAACAAAAAACTTATATTGTTTATTATTATTACCAACTTTTAATATTTTCATTATTATATTTTTTTCAATACAGCTTCTGACAATCTCCTCCATTTTCTTGATTTATTAATTCGACGTACTTGACGGTATTTTCCTTTATTTATAAATATTATTATATTATTGGTTTTTTTTCAAATGAGATTCTTATTACTACTATATTTAAGAGAATACAATATTAATATCATTATGTGTGTTATAGATGTTGATCGTAAATAAAAAAGAAAATTGATATATTTAGAAAACCTGGAAGTTTAATAGATCATGCATCTTGTTTTTTAACAATCATTTCAACACAAATCTGCCCATCGTACAACTCTACCTTTCCAATCGAATAGTTATTAAAACATTCATCAAGCATGATTTTGAAAATTGTTTTACGTTTGCATTAGTGTTGGTCGTCAAAACTATTTTGAAGAGACAAAGTCAAAAAGTCAAAACCAGTTTCGACTTATGGCGGAACCTTTGATTTTCGCACAGTCGCAAAACTCTATATTTTTGGAAATTGACATTGGCTTGTTATGATAATAAAGAAAATAAAAAAATTTTTTTTTAGTAAATAGAATTTATCCAATGAAATATTATTGAGTGTGTTAGTATCCCATAATACATGAAAAAATTTTTTTCAGTAAATATATATTTCAAATTTTTGCATTACTAGTAGGCAGCTGATTATTCGATATTAGTTGATCACTGGTATCAATCTTCAGTTACAGGGTCTTTCGTATATGGGTTAGCATTAAGCCTCCTTGATCAGGAACCAGGCGTTAGTCCATATATGGGGATCTTGGGGTTGACGTTGGAGCCGTAAGATCCAGTTATTCGCCTTGCAGACAGAAGGTATAAGTAAAGACATGGTAGGCTTCTGACTGACCATTCCTCACGGTTTGCGAGGTCGGCCGTGTAACGGATTTCCATGTTGAGAGGGTATTCATATCGGTTGGGTATCTGATCAGAGGAGCTGTTGCATGGTAGCGTTAAAACTTTTATTAATTTTAATAAAATTAACTGTGGGAAGAATTTTTCCAAAAAAACAATATACATTAAAAATATATTAAAAATAAAATAAATATATATTAAAAATAAAATATATTAAAAATAAAATAAAAAAAAGAATTTCAATTATAAAAAATTAGATATCTCATTATACATTTGAAATAATGAATCATTAATATGATTTTCTACAATATTGTATAAGTGCACGATAATAACGTTGATGATAACGTGTTGGTGATAACGTTGATGATAACGTGTTGATGATACACGTTGACAATAGCATGGATGATGACGTTGATGTTAACGTGCTGACGATACACGTTGATGGTAACGTGTTTATGATACACGTTGATGACAACATTGGTGATAATGTTGATGATAACGGATTGATGATACGTGTTGGCAATAACATCGATGTAATAGAGAGTGAAAAAGAGAGAGAAAGAGAGAGGATTCAATGAAAATATTACAGGGCTCAAAAGACAATGATTGTTCATAAATTTCAATGGAAAAAATGGTATTTATTTTCAATAAATGTCATAAGCAGTATGCAACAATGACTCTATTGAATAATATTAATCCTATTAATGATTTTAAAATTTATTAATCATAAAAATACAAAAGCTTTATTGATTTCAAAATTTCTAGAAGATAATATTAACAAAAATTCTAATTTTCTGGCAATTTTAGGGTTTAAAATTAATCTATAACATAAAGGTAAAAATAACTTTACTCAAGAATATCCTAAAATCTAGAATTTTGATTAGGTAAATGTCTCATATAGAAACACCTCCAAGCAGTTATAAACGACTTCGTAGGGAACATCACAACTGCTACTGTCGAGTTTACTACCCTAACAACCATGGGTTCATTACACGCTGATCAATGTCACCTACCGATTATTTTATGCAGTATTCTAATACAGCAGAATCATCAAAATTTAATTCGATTTGTAGACAAATGAAGGTGATGATAATGAAACAGATACATTGATACTTGTTAATGGAAATGTTAGATCAGATGAAGAAAGAAATCGGCAAGGTTACCAGAATTAGATCCTGATGTTGATAATGATTACAAATAATGATGATGGTAATGATGATGACAAAAACGTTACGAGTATTTTATTTGATTATGATTATGATGACAGTGATGATGGTGGTTATGATGACAGTGATGATGGTGGTTATGATGACAGTGATGATGGTGTGAGTTAATGATGCTGTCTGTAAATCAGATTTACAGAAGTTGTATCCAGCAACCGAGTTGTCATACTATTTGTAACCAAGTGTCAAAATCTATAATTCTCTGTAATGTGTAAATGTATCTGAAATGACTGTAACTACTACAAACAACCATTAAACAAAATTATACGTAACTTAAAATTTTTGGAGTTTATAATGAAAAAAAGACCAAGAAGCAATTCTAATTCTTCAGAAACTTTAGAAATCAATAATTCTTTTAACCGTGGCAGACAATTTGCAAGTGTATGGAGACAATTTATTCAAGGTGCAGAAAAGGAACATGGCTATATATGAAGGTAAATGTATACATTGACATGAAAAATGGTCATTCGTGATTTTGGAGTCTTACATTCACATTCAACAAATGAATACAATAATGTGGAGAGGATATTAAATGGTATTATAATTGGATCATTGTGAATAATCTGCATGATAACTCTTCTGTGACGCATATGAAATCCCCAATGATTGGGTGAAGCCTCCTACATCAACAATAGAAAAATTAATAGGATCATTGTGAATAATCTGCATGATAACTCTTCTGGCGATGCATATGAAATCCCCAATGATTGGGCGAAGCCTACATCAACAATAGAAAAATTAATAGTGACTAACAATCTAAAGTTAATTCCCACTATGGTTCCACGTCAATTGAACCTTCACGTCAACAACAAATTGATATATGTAGCTTTGACTATTACATTTATTTATTGTGATAGAAAATCCTTTTTTTGTTAACTTATTAAAAGCATTAAACCCTGGTCATAATTCTCCTTCTCACGAAATGTTATCGGGTAGCTCTATTACTATGAAAAATAAAATACGGAGTTAAATACGATCTTAAAATTATTAACGTATTTCTTATACGGTTTTGAAAATTGTCCTTTTCAAATATCAAATTACGAGTATTACTACGGAACCAGTACTAAGTTTGTAACAAGCTGAAAAGGTACGCTTTAATATTAATTCCACGTACAAGGTACGGAATAGATAGGGAACTTGTAACATACTGTAAAGGTACGTTTTAATCACGCGTATAAAGTACGGAATAGACATGGAATTTGTAACATACTGAAAAGGTATGTTTTATATTTAATTCTGTGTATAAGGTACGGAATTTGTAACATACTAATACTGAAAGGTATTATATAAAGAATACATTTATTTTATTTATAAAACATATAGTATTATTAAATAATTTTTACGATATCATTAAATCGATTTATTGGTAACATTTGTAATATATGATGATCCATCAATTATGAGAAAGCGTTATTATTATAGCAACAAATAGCAAACAACAATGAATTATCATTTTTTGAGGATGATAATAAAGATTAAGATCCAATTTTGTTCCATGAAACTACTCAAATTTTTCAAAAAAAAATGTGGGGACGGCTATTCTATTTATATGTTTTGGATTTAATAAATAGACTATTGTCTTGGCCTGAGTGATGTCATTTTTTTGCTCTTTGCGACAAAGATGCAATCCCAAACCCAACTTAAAATAAATGAATTTTTGTTCTTGCGTAGTATGGTGTGTGTGATTTGTAACAAAGCAAAAGTTACATAAATATTAATAATAATAAAGTTTCACAAAAAATTTCACTCCTTCGTGTTTTTCTCATATGATTCCCAATCAACAATCTTCTTTTTTCTAGCAATCTTCACCATAACTGACTTTTTTTTTCATGGAATTTGTTCTTCCGCCACTCTCTCAAATAAAAATATTAAAAATATTAGTTATTTGTGGTTACATTTTGATTTATGTGGATAACAAAATATTTGTGGTTGCACAAGTTATCAATCATTTCTAAAAATAAATTTGTAACCAGTTCCAGATGGTAAATGTGAGTGGTGTTAATTCCCACAATAGCAGCCGTCACGGTTCGAAACCCGATGAGCGGTCATAGGAACTGGTTAGTGTCTTGTCGTGAATACCACTATAATTTTTTTTTCACCTCAATTCTTGATAAATATAAACAATACTAATTAATACAATATTAACTTTATCAAAATATTAATATGGTTGGCTCGGTCTAAAGACACATTATAATAAAAATTTTTTGAAATTTTTCAAAGGTTCCTTACTGCCAAATTTAGTAATGACGATCAAAGGCTAGCCTAAATTTAGCAATGATCATAGTGCTATGAACATAGTAATAGTAAAATACATGTACTAAAAAAGAATAGAACTATACAACAAATATTTTTTTTACATTATATTAAAACTAGAGACCTATTCTATCAATTAATGAGGCTATTTTTTTAAAAGGTAGGACAGAAAATGACTTCTATACTTTTAAATTTTGCACAAAATTTTAGACCAACAAAGAAA